CAAAAGATGTGCACATAGTTGGTAATGAAACATATTCACGAGCTGTCTAGCACTTAGTAAACCCACTACCAAAGGCACAGATGTGTTTATATGCAGAGTCATACCTGAAAAGGGGGATAAGTGAGTAAATAAGCCACAGACACGTTGTTTCCTCTGCTGTAGCATGTATTAGCTGAGGAAGAAGTTCCAGTGCTCTTTAGTTTGGCATACTCACGCTAGGCTCCCCCTGCTGGTCAGATATGGCACTACATGTGCTGAACCAAATAGAACATGACTGTACTTAAACCAAACACCTGGTTAGAACATCTAATATATGATATAAAAAAAAATTACTTTTAAATTTGTAAAACATAAAGTGTGCAAATATAACCAGAAACAGTAAAAACATCTGACTTATAATGAACACATTTCAATCCATCACTCTAACAACTACTAACAACGCTGAGTTGTTGGAGTTGATCGAACTAATTGATAGCAGCTGTTGTGACATAAAAAACTCAGAGTTCCCGACTTTAGGCTAGATCATTTAGAATTGCAGATTTGAATCTGAGTTTGTTAAACCTGCTTTGTGAAACCTGGATCCTTTTTGTGCTGAATTTCATCATTCTATCAGAATTGATTAAGCAATATTCTGCTTATGCTGAGGAATATAAAAAAACAACAACATTTATATCATAACCATGAGCTTCTTTAATGGAAATATATTTTTTTATTTTCTAGCAACCTCTTCAGTCTATGAGACGATCCAAACCCACAGAGCCACTGGAGGAGGTAAAGTATATATTTTAATATAGAGATGTTAATTAAGAAGATGGATTATAAAAAGCTGAGATTAAATTCTGAAATATTTTGACTACAGATGAATCCCAAGCTTTTATTTATCAACAAATGTAAACAATTATAAAACATTAGGTAGTCAATTCATTTTCTGGAGATTTTTTAAACATTAATTTATGTTTTCCTGTATTCATTGTACAATTTTCATAGAGAGGTCTCATCATTCAGAGGAAAATACTGATTACGCTAATGTGAAACCACAGAATTACAGAGCAAGATGAAGGTCAGGTAATCATTTCCTTTGCTTACACTGTCAGTGGTATAATCATTCATATCTGCTGTTTCTCTCAAAAGATGTTTCTGTCACATTTAGAGATTCATCTTAAAATGTTACTTTTTAGCCTTGTTTAGCAAATATCATTATGGAAATCTTTAAGTTAATTTGTTAAATGTATGCTATTTCTTTGCAGGTAATTGGAGTCCGGCATAAACAGATGATCCAGTTTGTTCTACGACCAGCAATAGCTATAGATAATACTGCTGCCATCTCCAGGGAGATAACCTCATGGTCAGAAACGCCCAAGTCATATGCTTTCATTTGGGTGATGGGGTGGTCTCTGTTATGACTAAATCTAGAGTATGGCGGTGTGTGTGTGTGTGAACCTGTCTAGCCCTTAGAGTGAGGACCATTTTTCCAATTTCACCATCAAATGGAGGACCAGTTGTTGAAGTGAGGACATTTTGTCGGTCCTAACATGCTACTTTGCTAATGGTTAGCTTTAGGGCTAAGGTGTCAATTGGTTAGGGCTAGGGTTAGAGTGAGGTATGCATTGGTAATGGTTAGGTTTAGGGTTAGTTTTAGGGTTAGGGCATTGAAAGGGTTGAAAATGACTGAAAATCAATGGAAGTCAACACATGGTCCTCATTAAGATTGCAGAAAAAGTATGTATGTCTTTGTTTGTGGGGGTACTGTGACATGTTGTGTGAGATGTAAGCAGTTCAGAAGTTCAAGGAACTCAGAACCAGACAGCAGTATAAATCTCATAATGTTAATACCTTTAATATTTGTTCTTAAGATAAATATATCTGTGCCGCTTTAAGATGTTAATGAATATTTCATTTTTTTTATAGCTATCTTGCTAAAAATCTGTTAAACAGTATATATATCATACGATATAAAAATTGATGATTCATGCTGTTAAAGTTTTGCAGGACTCCAGTTAAATGAAATCAAATATTAGAAAATACAAACTCTGTTCTTGCTTATACAGAGGCACTTGTAGCTGTTGCTACTGTATCTTTGATGTAATAACTATAATTTTAGATAGTAATAGGGTTGCCAGTCTTTAACAGAGTTTAAATTAGTAAAATATAAATGAGGGAGTTCATCAATGTTGAAGTTATTCAGGAGTTGCTTTGGTGTTTCCTTTGGTCGTAATGAATGCTCCAGTAGAGCATGAAAGCAGTGGAGTCTCATCCAGGAATAGGATTTCTTTCAAAAGCCACGGCTTAGAAAACTCCACATACAATTAAAACTGCAACTTTTTCTTAATCAAGTTTACATTCACATGAAGCCTAGGCGCAAATTCAAGCTGAAAGGCCTTTACCTGCAGTCTCCTTATCATAACATCCTTACTTTCTTGATAAGCAGGATCCCTCCTCCCCTTCATTCCACTAGCCTCCCAATGCCTTCCTTTTTCCCCAACCTCACATCCAATAGTTGTGCTGTTTAAATGAGTTTGTGGTTCTAAATAATGTATAGATTAAATGGGTTGAGCAGTTTATATATAATTATATGAAAGACTCCTAGAGGACAGCAGAAAAACTCCACCCAATGAAACCGAGACTAATTCTAATGCTGCTTTAAGACCGAAGGCGTTGAACGTGGTGATTATGGTGAGATCCGCAGATAGTTCACCGCCCTGCATTTCAGATGCAGAGTGTTTACACCCTGGACCCTTTGAAATAATGAAAACATAAAAAAAAAAAAACTAATGGAAACAAAAGATGTGTGCTCCCTTTGTTTCAGAGATATTAAAGTTTTTTTTTTTCGCCATCCAGAGATCTACTATCCCCCATTAAGCTCCTAATTGATTTAAAATGATGCAGCTTACTTTTCAGTGCTACATCATTTTTGTAGTAAAACTGTTGTTTGTGATGAATTGGTTTTTAAGATTGAATCTTTTTTAACTACGGCCTATGACATCACCGCTCCATCACCATCCCAGCAGATTTTAGTGCTGCACTTGTTCCTTATATAAAGCAAAACATCTCATTTCATTCCTGTGCTGGTAATGAATATAACATCGGACATGTTTACCTCATTTAGTGGATGGAATGATTGTTTAATATTTAGTAAATCACCATATGTCATCTCCTGTCAAAGTCTCACTGTCAGTCGGCATTTCAGAATAAAAGCACAGGTGCTTCACAGACTGCTGCTAAATTGTTCTCTATGAACAACATTGAATCACCTTGGGGAGAGCACCATTTTATTTGAAAAGTCCTGAAAAAAAAAGAGGCCGCTGTTTTCTTCAGACGCAGCTCTGATTCAGTCGGACTTCCTCGTCTGACGGAATCAGAGTCGGACAAGAAAGAAAGCTCCACTGCTGGGCTGTGGACAGTGACAGACCGGGCTCTGAAAGGACGTTTAAAGGTCCTTCTAGGTCTAAATTAAAACTTTTTTTTTTTTAAAGTCACCTTAAGACCCCTTGAGAACATTCTTTGATTCGACTTCTTTTCAGCATCAATTTCTCTGTATTCTATTTTAAGTGAAAAAAGCAGTCCCTGATTTGTTGCCTTTTTTGCAATTTCATTGAAGAGTTCAGCTCGTTTCAGCCTAACGATTACTGCTCCGCTCTCTCCATGTGGTGCAGCCGTTTCACAACACATCGGCTTTGTTCGAAATCCTGGGCTTCATCCTCCAAGGACGCGGTCTACCTAGACTGGTATGGAAGAAAATCGTTACCATATTTCAAATGAAAAAGCATTTCCAGAAAGGCTTTTTCATTTTAAGAATGTGGCTGCATTATTTGACTCATAAATGAAATTAGTAATCAATCATCCTATTTGCATTTTCATTTTCTTCTTCAACACCGCTCATCCTTTTACTTAATTAAAATGAAAAAGAAAAAGACATTTGAGATTTATTTTTCAAAATGTACCCCAGCAAATACATACCAAAATTCAATTTGAAATGTAAAATTTGAAAATGAAAAACCATTTCCAGAAATGCTTTTCATTTTAAGAATGTGGCTGCATTATTTGACTCATAAATGAAATTAGGAATCAATCCATTTTCTTCTTTAAGACTGCACATTTCATGGCATAATCAAGGAGAAAACACAGCGGACATTGCTTTTTCGTGTTCATGGTCTGCCTGCAAAGTACTGTCCACAACTTGAAAACGAAAAAGCATTCTGAGCGGCGGGGGCAGCAGAGTGACGTCAGCAGCCGCTCTTCCTCAGGTCCTTGCTGACCGGGCTACCCATCTTGTTCAGTAGGGGGCGCTGATTATATTATATTATTCTGTTCCCCCCTTGTAACTTTAAGAAAGAAAGGTCTATCGCCTCCAAAGTTTCAGGAGTGAGTTTTCATCATGAAATATACGTATAAGTCAAAAATGAAAAGGCTGGGACCTTTGTTTTGTCTGATTTAGACAGGGGGAACATATTCTAGCAGGTTTTATCTTAATTTTATATAAATAAAACGCCTGATGTTAGAACACAGACTGTTTATTAAGGATATAACAACAAAGAAAAATAAGTTAATATAAAACACAAATATAGATTTAAGGACTAAATTTCAAACAGGAAAAAGTAATTTTCCTTCTGGATTTAGTCTTTAATCATTACACATACACTCCATTTTCTATTTCATTTTTATTACAAGCATATGGTTTAC